TTATTTCTTCCTGAGCCTACACTTTCCTGCCTCTCATCTAATCATTCTTCTCTAGCTTTTGTACAGACAGCTCATTCCGGCTGCCCGGCTGCCCAGAGCACCTTCTCAGCGATGACGGATAGCTGCAAATGTCCTCCCAGGCTCTCTGGGCTCACCTGGGGAACCTGAGGAAGCCCAGATTTGCAACCTGCACCACGACTGTTTAATTTTTTTTTCCCTTTGGCCTTCTAGATTATTATCGATTTTCTTCCCTTACTTACTCGCTTCCTTTCCATTCCTATTTGTCTGAGTTGAGTCAGAGGGCTGGCGTGCCTTCTCCTGCTTCCTCCTAAAATGTTGCATAGCTCAGTGAGGAACAGGAGGAGTGGAAGTTAACCCTCGCACACATACTTTCTCGCTGGTCACTGAAGAGACACCCTAGGCTGCCTTTCTTGGGTGACAGACGTTGCCATGAATTCTAAGGAGAATTCTTTATTAGCTATTTTGGGAAAGGAGGATGTAATTCTTTGTACTAACTAGTATGGACTAAAATTTTGTGCTCCCTCTGCCCCCCGAGAACCATATGTTGAAGCCCTGGTCTCTGATGCAATGGGATTTGGAGGTGGGGCCTTCGGGAGGTCATTAGGTTTAGATAAGGTTGTGAGGGTGCAGGCCCCATGATGCAACCAGTGCTCTTAAAAAAGAAAAGATCAGAGTTCTTCTCTCTCTCTCATGTAAGGGCGCAGCGGGCTATCAGTGTTCACAAGCCAAGAAGAAAGCTCTCTCCCTTCCCCAGAACTCACCCCTGCTGGCACCTTGATCTTGGACTTCTAGCTGGTGAGAAATAAATTTCTGATTCAGCCCTCTAGTCTCCATTATTTTTGTTATAGTGGCCTAAGCTGACTAAGCCACTCATCTAATCAAATACTGTACTACCAGGTATTCAAAGTGTCCACTGTGGCCCACAAAAGCATCCCACTTGAGACCAGAGGTTTGCGTGGTCAGTGTCTTGCAATTATGAAGGCTGTGCTGTATTTCCAGCGTAAAAAGTCTCTCCTGATGCATGTGTGATGATGTCAGCTTGGCCTGTGCTCCAACTATCCTTAGTGGGTGACGTGACAACTGAGTCAGGTGACCCCCCAGGCTCAGGTGCTGTTGTTTTTAACATAAGCAAAGCCCCATTAAAGAGAACTTCAAGGGTATCCACGAAGATAAAGAGAAAACAACAAATTGTAACATGCCGTCTGAGGAATAAAAAAGGGGAATTTCTTACATGTTAATAGGAGCTTAAAGCACAGCTGCCAGATAAAGTAGAGGACTACCAGTTAACTCTGAAATGCAGAAAAAAAAAATGAATCCTTTTGTTGGTGAAAGTGTGTTCCACTGGGTGTCTCGTGTTTTATGGGCAAGTCTGGCCAACTCTGCCTGAGGGCCTCGCTACTCAAAGTGCAGTGCCCAGACCAGTAACAGCTGCCGCCTCTGGAAGCTTGTCAGAAATGCCGAATCCCAGGCCCCACCCCCGACTTCTGGAATCAGAAGCTTCATTTTTAGCAAGATGCTCAAGAATTGAGCCTGCACATTGATGTTTGAGAAGCATTGTTTTCAAGTGTACAACCTATCTGTAAGGACCCTACTGCGCCAGGTTTCAGGTTGTCCCAACAGGTTGGAAAGGAAAGGGGAAGCTGGGAACGGGCTCTCCCGACAGCCTGGTGTGGTCAGAATGGAGATTTCAGTGTCGACAGTGCTGTGGGCTCGTGGCAATTTCTTCCCATCAGAGGGCAGAGTCTCCTCCTCGAGCCCCACCCCCTGTTTCCAGACTTGTTTAGCTGTTAAAGCAGAGTGAGGTCTTCCAGGGGTGGGTGAGGGTAGGGGCCGGGCGGGCAAAGGTGGGTTCATATTCTGGGGGAGCCAGTGCTCACGCACCATTGCCCATCACCTCAACGCTGCTACAGCAGCCACATCTGTGTGTTTTCTCTTCTCTCTGTTTCAAGCCATTAATTTCAACAGGTGCCGTTCACTTAAAGATAGCAACTTGGGAAAATAAAATAATCGCTGCGGTAAATGGGCATATCCACTGCAGGAGTGATTTTGATTTCGGGAACTGAATCAAGGAAGTAGGGTAAAGGGCTATGGAGAAACATTCAGAGAATAACCAGGAGGAGATTGGGGGGCAGAAGGCAAGCCTGATCGAACACAGACAGATAGGAGAGCTGCGGGAGTGGACATGAGCTGAAGAATGTGCCTGGAGGGGTCTGCTGGAGGAAACATAATCCGGACAGGGAGAGACGTCTGGGCTAGCGGTGGTCTCATCCCACAGGCTCGTGGTAAAAACTCCACCCTGCGACAATCTCTATCGATGCTAATAAGCAGCACCGTTCCAAATCCATTAGTACTTGTTGATAGACTAAAACAATATTTCTGGTTCTTCTATTTCAGATGGAGAACAACTTTTATTTTTTTTCAGCAAGCATTTTTAAACATCTGCCATCTGAAAATCCATACTTCAAAAGGAGGAAAAAATAGATTATTATCTGCATTGCAGCTGGATTTTCCAACTTACAAAACTGTTCAGTAAAATTTCATTAAATGAAAAACTCTTAAGATCACTTAATTCTTGAACGAGAAGAAACCTTCAATTAATTTTAATTCATCAAATCTTTACTGGTTATCTACTTATTATGCCATTAAATATAACATTATAATATTAACATTCTGTTCCAGGAGAACAATTTTTAAAAGCCATGAAATTGTAATTTTTTGAATGGGAATATAATTTGAGTCACAAACATTTGACAGCCTCATCTTTTTAATAATATACTGGGTTAAAGGCTGGATTATTCCAGCAAATGATTTTATTGCATGAGGTGGGATGGTTTCCCTCACCTGCATAAAATCCTCCAGTGGCTTCCTGGGGACCTCGGGAAAGAACTCAGATCTGGCCCCTGAGTGCTGTTCCACGTGCTCCTCCACGGACGGGGTCCTTTCCCAAACCTACAGTCCCACAGGACAGTACTTAAAGTTCCAAAATCCACTGTCCTCTCTCCAGCCCCTGTGTCTTTTCAGGTGTTGACAGACATCACTACCACGCATTTAGTTCCCTGAGCCTTGCGCAGTGTCTGGACAGAGGGACTGCTGGACTGAGGGATCGTGCGGACGGAACGATGGACGTAACGAACGAATGCCCAGTCACGACACCTTTTACAGAGCTAAGGATCTGCTTCACTTGCTCTCCTAACCTGGGGAGGGCTGTATTTCCTGGTCATCTGTTTCAGAGGCAGGATGTTGAAGTGGAAAGAATACTGGGCTAGAATTTGGGAGGTTTCAGCTGTCCCCCTTGTTGGCTGGATAACCTTGGACTAATCGTTGGCTCTGTCTGTGCTCCTGAAGGACACGACCTGGCCGAAGCACCGCAGTTCCCTCTAGCTCTGACTTCAATGATCTTTACCTTCCCCCTTCATTTCCTTGATGGAATGTAGTTCCCTCCCCAATCCACACTCGCAACCATTTTTTTTTTTTTGTATTTCTTTTTGTAAGAAATTGCATGTGCAGCACTATCCACCAACCTGTGTAACCATCCATGGGCATGGAGTTCAAAACACAGCCTTCATTTAGCCAAGGCTGAAAGGTAAACACAGATGGGCAATAGAGCAGCTCGAAAAATCAGCCACTTTATTCATTAGGCCATCTGGTCATCCTTTCTGGTGTCTTTCTGTACAGTCATTAGGAAAAGACACAGTAGAGCCTGTTAAATCACAGCTGAATTTGCTGGCCAAAGTCTCTGTCCTAAAAGGCCGGACATTGGTAAATAACTAGGCATTTTTGAGGGGCATGTTGTTGATATCATGAATATCTTTCTGTACCTCCTGACTGAAGATTTGGATACTGATATTTTGGGGCTGCTTGAAAGATTATAGCTTTTCCCACAGCTGTCTAGTTCGCACTTTGCTAAGCTTTCCCTAGTGTAGCAAATAATATGATTGCTAATAGATACTCAAAAATGCAACTCTGCAAGGTAAGAAATAACACCGAATGAGCATCTCACGTGCACCCCTGCTTACCTTCTGCAGTTTCTTCTGGACTAAACATCCATGTATCTTCTTGTTGCCTTTGGATCACAGCTGCTTCCTATGCTTGAAACTGCCCAATAACGCTCCAGAACAGACCTCCCCTCCCCTCCCCTTCTCCACCTGCTGGTTAATCCCCAAAGATTCCTTGAGGCCAATTTACCAGGTGCTCTACCCACTTGCATCCCCCTGGGGAGGGCTGGGGCAGACCCCTCTCTTGGTGTCCTGCCCTGCTTGCCGGCTCCCAGCCAGTTCCCCTGAACAGCTTCTCCACCCTAGGAAAACTCAAGCCAAATCCGTTTCTGGGCTGCATGAAGAAATTCAGAAATTCTGCAGCCAGCGGCGATCGCACTGGGAGCCCGGCCGCAGGGTGAGCCGGAGATCCCCCACGGGGAGGTTCCGATGGAACCTTCCAAGGCGCAGGCCCTGTGAGAACCTTCTCTTGGTTGCCCCTCAGCCGTTCTGTTTTTCCGTTACCCTTTCAACAAGCACTTCAAAAATTCCCTTTCTCCAAGGGTAAAAAACATTTTTTCCTGTTTAACTAGCGATGGAAAACACACACACACACACACACACACACACACACACACACACAGCAAGCCGTGCAAATTGAACTACAGATAAAAATAGCTCCACTATCTAAAGCCATTAAGTGAACATAAAAGGCTCTTCCTGGTCTCGGGATATGCGTAACCTGGCATCTGTCTCCTTGCCTCCATTGTCACCCGGAGGCAAGGCATTCGGAACAAGGACTCCACGCTTAATGGCACCTTGAGAGTAAGTGCTCCCAGGTGCCCATCAAACCTGTCACTCTGAACAGCTGTCGCTGAGTGATGGCTGGCCCCCTCCACCCTCCTTTGCTTTTTGCAGAGATAGGCCCGCAGAGCGGGGCCAGGAGGGCCTTCCCGAGCCGGGAGCGCAGAGCCCCGCCCGCAAGGACCGCGAGGCGCCCCTCACCTGGCTTTGCTGTGCCCGTTCCAGCACTCCTCGTCGTTGGACGTGCCCGCCGTCACGCTTTCGTCCTTGCAGATGGTATAGGGCAGCGCCGACCAGACCTTTTTAGAGAGCTTCAGTTTCTCTTTTATGTCTGTGACCTGATCGAGAAAGCAAGGGAAGACAGTGACTACTCTTCCCAAGCGCTGCCCGTGTCTATACGTGGACGCGCGCAGGTGACGGTGAGAGAATCTGCGATGGGATGAGCACAAACCCTTTCTCAGGTTGAAGAGGGAGACGGGATTTACTGGCCGGGAAAGCCTCACTCCCTCCTTCCTCAGCCTTCCTCCAGCTTCTGGCAGAGAGTGCTCAGGTAGTTGGCTTTCTGTTTTCCACCTTTTCTGGCCTTTGAATTAAACAGGTGTGAAGCACCTGCACTGGCTTTCGGTCTTTCTCTAACTGGGAGAAATAGGTGCACCCTACTGCAAACGCTCCAAACAGGATCTTTAGAATTCATTTGCCTGGATGTCGGATAAAGGCACCCAAACAATGCACTGACACCAAACGCCTTTCCCAATGATCTACTCGTTTCTGCAAGAAATACCTATGGCGACTCATTCAGCTGCTGGTAACCTCTGGCCCTGACTAACTGACAGGCCCATAGAGCACACATTTGGATGGTGAGCAGGAACCCAAATCCATTAAAAAGTCTCTAGTGCCAGGGGAAAAAGTGTCATTTCAAATACAAGTAAGTGTAACATCCATAGCCTTGTGGAGAGATGGCCAGGAGAGGCTTAGTAACACCATCGCTGGTATTTTCGGGCTCAGCAGTGACCATGCCTCTGGGGAAAGGGTAGGGAGAGAAATTTAGTACCACATTGGTCCATAATTACCATCTAGGTTCTTTCCATCACAACCTTGATTTCCTGTGCTACCTACATGAATGTTGGGAAAATCTATGGACATTTGAAACGTGCCTGCTATAGGTTGAATTATGCCCCCCAAAGTCCTATGCTGAAGTCCCTCCGTATCTCAGAATGTGACCTGATTTGGAGACATGGTCTTTTCAGAGGTAAGGCAGTTTAAAATGAGGTCATTAGCGTGCCCCCGTCAGAAATGACTGGTGTTCTTACAAAAGCAGGACATTTCGACCCAGGGGTATGCCTAAAGGGAAGACAGTGTGAGGAGACTGGGAAGAAGACAGCCACCTACAAGCCAAGGGAAGAGGCCTGAAAAAGGTCCTTTCCTCACAGCCTTCAGAAGGACCCAACCCTGTGGCGGCCTTGATTTTAAACTTCTAACATCCAGAACTAGGAGACCATCAGATCGGTGGTTTAAGCCAGCCAGTCTGTGGTGTTCTGTTAGGACATTCCTAACAGCGATTTTATATAGCAAGTCCTAGCAAATCCTAGACGGGAGACCCACTGAGACTTAAGAGCATTATTGTACCTTTGAGATCAATAGCCTTTGGACGCGAAGTGTTCTATGTTTGCTGTGGATGGAGTACAAAGTTGAGAAAAATATTCCAAAGATCCTTTCGTCAGGTTCAAGAGTGAGCACAAAGAAATAAAAGACTCTGACATTTTATTCTGGCTCCAGTCACATTTCTCAGTAGTTCCAGAATATAACTTTTGGCCCCTGAGTCACCGTGATTCCGATGATGAAGGGTCTTCAGTCCTGGGAGATGTCTGCTCATCCACAAAGTGCCGAAGGGGACCTGGGTGCTGAATCAGAGAACCTGGGGCCTAGCTTTGAATAGTATGACGTTACTTTTGTTGTAGAATGTGAAAAAAAATCCAGAGTAAGGACATTCCAAGAAGTAGCTTACACACAGGAAATGTTTAATGTAGCTTGAAATCTACACTCTTTGATTCCCCCTGTCCAATTCTCCTTCCAGCCAATCTCACTGGGTAAGAAAATTTGTAATAAGAGCCTGTCCTTTTTGACTCCCCTCTCCAGGCACAGATATGTGTGTATGTTGTTATTTGTTTATATTTTATTCTTTTTTTGTTTTAAAGATAAGTGCCATTTCTATCCAGCCATAGGTGGATGTACATTCTGTTTATCAATTACAAAAAAAAAATCCAACCCTCCAAATACCAATTAAGAAATATTGAAAGAGAGTTAGAAACATCGCCATTCTGCAACCACTGCCATCATAATTGACCTCAGCAAGTGTCATCAATAAATGCTGTTGTGAGTTGAAATGTGTGCCCCACTAAAAGACATTGGAGTTGTAATGACTGGTACCTGTGACTGTGATCTTATTTGGAAATGGGGTCACTAGGAGAATCAAGACAGCAGAGGAGTGAGTGTAAGTCACACTGACCTCCTCCCAGGAGTAACCTGGAATTATAGCTAAATTGTGGAGAAATTGCCTGGAACAAACAACTGAACAATAGCAAGAGAGAAGCCTTATAACCCCGGACTGACAGAAGAATCAGCTTTAGTACAACCTAACTGGTAAGGAGTGTGGAAGAGACTTGACAAGGTTGGGTGGGGCACCCATGGATGGCAGCACCAGAAGGATATTGAAGCGAGTTGGATCCCCCTGAGAAGAGCAGGGTCTAAACCATAAGTGGGGATCTCCAGCCACAGCACCAGAGCCCAAAAAGTACCCAGATAACAGTCAGCTGTGAAAAGCAGCAGGGTTGCCCTCGTCCAGAGACAGGTGGCTGGAGATGCAAAGAGCCGTTTAAAGGGCCAAAGCATTAAGTTTTATTTGCAGTCACTTACCCTGGACTCTGGCAAAGGCAGGGGCAGAGTGGGCTAGAGACACCTGAGAAGAGACTGGGGAAGGAGGCTTTGGGGAGAGAACTGAGAGAGTGGCTGGCGGGATCCTGGCGCTGACTCATCCCCCATGTGGCAGCAGCCATCTTGCTCAGGCAGACCGCTCCCCTGAGCAGCAACAGTGTGAGAGGACACAATAACCCCACCTCCAGGAGGGGCTCCACCCCGCCCTGTGGTGTCTCCTGCAATAATAAATACTGCTGGGGATGACAGGGAAAAGATGAGCCTCCTTTTAAAACTTATCTGGAGTTTATTCTAATTTCTGACAATTTCAACTCTTGGCTTCAGTAGAGACATGAACTCTTAGTTTAAGGCGTGTCCAGTGCTTGATCCTGAATACTTGATTCTAGGAAGACAATGGTACCATTTGCATATGCATTTTACAGGATTGTAAAGTTAGACAAAAGAGGGAGGAAGCTGACAAAGTGAAGGGACTGCTAAAAACAAACTGCTTACCAAAAACAAAGAGCAGAAAGAAGTGTCCAAATACTGTTGTCTGACAACTTCATTTAAAGAGTGATCTTGTCCCAAATATTTAACCTGAATTTCATTAAGATACTGTCTTAACAACTTCCATTTTACAGGAAATACTGGGGATAGAGGCACACACCAACACCATATGTAAATGCTCAAACACATCAAGTGTAGGGAATATTATGTAAGACAACTGGCTTGGACTCCTCAAAAGGGGAGGGAAAAAAGAATGAAGAGTCTTGTAAATAAATAGACACTTGAACAGCATTACAAACCAAATGCTATTCATTAACCGAACCCTGAACTTGGAGGTGGGTATCCAGGTGTAAGAGAAAGTTTTGAGGTAATTGGGAAGTTTTGAGCATAAATAGACAGTAGAGGGTATTATTGAATTACTGTTAATATTCATATGTATAATCATGGCTTTGTGGTTGTGTGACAGGCTGCTCTTACTTTTAGAAAACTCCTGCTGAGGTATTTAGGGATAAAGTGCTTTGTCTTTTACTCAGTCAATCATTACTGAGTCTACACAAGAGGTATACGAATGTTCATTTTATTACTTTTTCAACCATTTCAGTATTTATCAAAGACATTAAAGATAACAAAAAATTGGGGAAAAAGGAGACTGTTGTCAGAGCACATAGTATTTAAGAGTTTTGCTGAATTCAGTCCAGGTCAGTAATTGACTCAAAATAATTGGGGCCAACTGTGAGCTTTCACTGAGCTAAGGCACTCACATTCTTTTGTTAAAAATTAATTTATCAATTATAATTGACATATATTATTATATTAATATCAGGTATACAATATAGTGATTAGACATTTGCATATTTTATGTAGTGATCACCCTAAGTCTAGTACCTATCTCACACCATACATAGTTATTACAATAATATTGACTATATTCCCTATGTGGTACTTAACATTCCTGTGACTATTTTTATTTCTGGCAATTTGTACTTCTTAATCCCTTTCACATTTTTCACCCATCCCCCTAAACTTCCTGGCATCTGGTGGCTATCAATTTGTTCTCTGTATCTATAAGTTTCTTTTGGTTTTGTTTATTTTGTTTTTTAGATTCCACATATTAGTGAAATCATAGACTATTATCTTTCTCTGCCTGACTTATTTAACTTAGTATAATACCTTCTGTGTCCAACCATGTTGTCACAAATGGTAAAGTTTCATGCTTTTTTATGGCCAAGTAATATTTCGTTGTATATAGGCACCATATCTTCTTTACTCATTTGTCTGTCGATGGGTACTTTGGTTGTTTCCATATCTTGGCTATTTTAAATAATGCTGCAATGAACATAGGGATGAACATATCTTATCAAATTAGTGTTTTGGAGTTCTTCAGATAAATACCAGAAGTAGAATTGCTAAGTCGCCGTAGTTCCATTTTTCATTTTTTTGAGGTAACTCCATACTGTTTTCCACAGAGGCTGCACAAATCTGCATTCCCACAGACAGTGCACTAGGGTTCCCCTTTCCCCACATCCTCACCAGCACTTGTTGTTTGTCGATCTATTGATGATAGCCATTCTGCCAGGTGTGTGGCGATATCTCACTGTGATTTTAATGTGCACTTCTCTGATAAGTAGCGACACTGAATGTCTTTTCATATTTCTATTGCAAGGTACTCACATTCAATCTTCAACACTTTGTGTGTGCTGAAGTAGGACCAATATACCTTTTTTGCAACTGGGAAATTAGAAGCTTAGAAGAGTAGAAATACTTGCCATTCATGTAGTAAATGGTGAAGCTGAAATTCAAATTCAAATGTAGACTTCAGAATCGTTATTCTTAACCACTAGTCTTAATAGGCACATTGCCTATAGCCACGGTCTCCAAACCATGGGCGCTGGGTTGGTGCTGGAGGCGTGTGTATGTTCCT